TGTCTGTCTGTCTGTCTGTCTGTCTGTCTGTCTGTCTCAAAGTTTACTCTGGGTGGCTAACAATAATAGATAAAAACAAAAACAATATAATAAAACAAAAACAACAATAATATAGTTCAAGATGGGAAAAATAACCAGGTGATGACAGGAGGAAAAGCCTGCCTAAAGAGCAAGGTCTTAAGCTTGCTTTTAAAAACACCCAACGAGGGAGCCAGACAGATCTCTGGGGACAGATTGTTCCAGAGGCAAGGGGCCACTGCCAAGAAGGCCCGCTTTCTTGTTCTTCCTCTCTTGGCCTCCCTCGGTGTTAGGCCCCTCAGCCACCTTTCTTGGCTAGAACAAGTGATATGGGTAGATCTAGGTGGTAGGAGGCATTCCGCCAGATATTGAGATCCTAAACCATTTAGGGTTTTATATGTCATCAGTAACACTTTGAAATCAATGTGGAAATGAATGGGCAGCCAATGCAAGGCAGCCAGAGTGGGTGAAATATGCTGATATTTTCTCACCCCTGTGAGAAGTCTGGCTGCCGCATTCTGCACCGCTTCTGATTTGGGGCAAACTTTACAGGGTTTCCAAAGTTCAAGGAGTGGTTTAGCTTTCCAGTGAGTCCTGACAGCCAAGAAGGGATTTGAACTGAGCTGTCCTGAGCTCAGCATTCCATCCAATGCACCACACTGCCTCTCAGACTTCTATTATGCATATTTAACATCACACTGAATGGTTTTCAATCCCAGTTTGGTACTTTGGGATCAGTCAGGCTCTCAGTTTTGAATATTTTCACAGCCAGCTGAAGACCTATCTATTTACCAAGGTATTTTCCTTAGCATTTTTCTAAGTGTTATTGCTATCAGTTATCCTGTTTTTTAAATGGTTTGTTTTTATTGGCCTTGATTGCTTTTGTTGTTTAAGATTTCCTAAGCACGGATGTAGAAATCCTGTTAAATAAAATAAATACAGCAGGTATTAGGAATGGCTGACTTCTTTCGCCTCTGATTTGGGGGCTCTGTAAGTTTACCAAGCCAAAACCAAGAGCATTGTGGCATCTTTAAAATAAACAGACGTACAGTACTACTTTAGTGTGAACATTTTCAGATTGCAACTCACTTCCTTCAGTAGAATGGGGCAGGGGATCTAAGCAATGGCTTCTTCAGTTTGTAGGCTTCCACTGTTTTCTCACTGCTTCTTCTCTCATTTACATATGCACAAAAGTGCACTTCTGATTTACTGTATATGTCCCATCAAAATGCCGTTCGATAAGCTATTGCTGATGGGTGAGGCCAGTCCAAAGAAAAAGCTGGAACTTTTGAATGGATTCTTGAATCATTTTATAGAATGATTATAGACAGCATGGGGCAAATTTGGAAAGAATGGGACCTCTAAAAACACAGGAATGCAGCTTGGGGGTGCTCTTGGATTCATCTCTAAGCCCAGGTTTTGGCACTGACCAGGAGGTAAAACAGTGCTAGCTGCATCTGGAGCCATGGGGAAAGAAGCAGGGGACCAGAGGGAGGCAGAGAAGCAAAAGAGGATCAGGAGAGGTTGGGGCAGAGAAAGAGATTGAGAGAGAAAGAGAGAGAGAAGCCATGGAAAGAAAGGAGTGGGGAGAAGTCACAGGGAGAAGAAAGGTAGAGACAGAGAAAGAGAACCAGGGAAGAACCAGTTGAAAAGCAGTCATGCTTTTGTATTTGGGTGAGGTATGTTTAAGAGATGAAAAAAGGAGGCAGGTTCTAAGATTTTGGGAGCTGTCCCACTTGAAACCTGGAAAACAGCCTTTAAAAGCTGGCAGGCAGAGAAGAAAATGGGGCACAGGAGTGTAAAAAACACACACAGAGAGAATGAAAGACAAAAGCCTATGTACATTCATTTCAGAGTAAATCTCAAATAACTTGGCATCATATCTGAGTAAAAGTTTCCAGGATTAGGTACCAGAGGGAGAAGACAGAATATGGGAGGAACGAGAGATACAAAATCACGCCAGAAATGACTGGAAAATTGTGTAGCAATAAGAAATGGTTGGGGAAATGCAGATTTAAGGCTGCTTTTCTTTCACAAGTCCCCATGTAATAAACACTTACATATTTAAAAAAAGAGAACTGGGAAATAGTAAATGAAACAGTAGAAACTGTTTCCTACTATCCTAACCCAGTAATGAGCAGAAGAAGAGGACTCACACTCCTTAGGGTATATGAGCATTGAGAAAATGGTATGGGGTAGTGTGGTGCAGTAAGGCTGAGAATCAGGTCTACTTCATGTGGCAACAGGCCTTGTGTCCTTGCTTGGGACTGATTTTTTAATGACTTGGTTACTTTTAGCTGTATTATCTAGTCATTGCTGAAAGTTCATATGTTCCCACATCAGTATTCAAGCTGTTGCAGTTTTCGCATCTAGTAAACATATCCAGTCATTCAAGGAACTCAAAGAAAGGTTTTGCTTAATAGATTCAAAAAGGTTGATCAGTTATGTAACTCCTTGATATTAATAAAATGACTCATTTGTTTTTATTTCAGGTTAAAAAGGAAGACCATCAAGATGGGAGTTCTGTCAGGAGATGACTTAGCTGATCTCTTTAATTACTCTAATTACATGTATGACTCTACTCCCGTAGACTTCAGCATTGACGTAGAACCCTGCAGACCTGAGAGTGCATCACCTGTGGTCAGATACATTGTCGCCTTCATCTATTGCCTGGTGTGCTTAATGAGTTTGGTGGGAAACTCGTTAGTAGTTCTGGTTGTCTCTTACAACAAACGTAACCGTTCGGTCACTGACGTATACCTTCTGAACCTGGCCATTGCTGATCTCCTCTTTGCCCTCGCCTTGCCCATCTGGGCCATTTACCGAGCCCATGAATGGATTTTTGGTTTGGTCATGTGTAAACTCACCTCAGTCCTGAAGGAAGTCAACTTTTACAGCGGCATCCTCCTCTTGGCCTTCATCAGCATTGACCGCTACCTGGCAATAGTTTACGCTACTCGAGCAGCCACTGAGAAGAGGCGCTGGGTCAAGTTTGCCTGCATTGGCATCTGGTTGTTCTCCTTCCTTTTCTCTCTTCCAGTGATCGCTTCCCGTAATGTTTTCCAGCCACCCAATACCTCCCAAAGGGTTTGTTATGAAAATATTGGGGGGAATGAAACAGCTAAATGGCGGGTGGTGTTGAGAATCCTACCACAAACGTTTGGCTTCATTGTTCCCTTGTTCATCATGCTCTTCTGCTATGGTGTGACAGTGCACAGGCTCTTCCAAACCAAGAACATTCAAAAGAGGAAAGCCATGAAAGTCATCCTAGCTGTTGTGCTGATCTTCTTGTTCTGCTGGCTGCCCTACAACATCTCCCTCCTGGTTGATACCTTGCTGAGGACTCACTTTATTGCTGACACCTGTAGCCGCCGTAATGCCATTGATGCAGCTCTTGTAGGCACTGAGATCCTGGGATTTTCTCACAGTTGCATGAACCCCATCATATATGCCTTTATAGGACAGAAGTTTCGGAACAACTTTCTCAAGATCTTAGTCATGCATGGCATCATCAGCAAAGAAATCCTGAGGCGGTATCGGAAGGGGTCCTCCTTCTCATCTACCTCTGGCAACACTTCAATGACCTTGTAACATACACACCAAGAGGAAGGGGAGCATACAGTCCAACCTTTGTTATTCAAGGATCTTAATTTGCTTCATGATTCAGACTGAGATGATGCCAGTGAGATGCTTGTATATATCCTGATGAAAATATGATTTGCTGTAAAACTCTGCAACAGTGGTTGAGTCAAAGTACTTATTTAGTACATGGATACTGATGCAAGGAATACTTTCAATAGTGATAGATGTTGGGGAGAACTGTACTTTCCCAACTTTTCTGCCTTTGGAATAATAATATTTTTTCAACCGGGGGGGGGGAATCCATTGTACATGTAGTGGGACATGTTATGACTGCAGTAAGAATTCCATGTATTTATGATCAGAATGGAGGTTTTTAAAAAATTGCCTCCAGATGCAGCCATCTTATAGAACACATCACTTTTTTTGTCTCAGTGTGTTACATTTTTTTATGACCAAAAAAACTCCTTTACTAAAAAGCATTAGATTTATTAAGGAGATTTGTTTATTTATTTATTTGCCAAAAGATTTTTGGCAAATAGCTGAAATTTAGGAAGGTTGTTTACAACTGGTCAGGTGAGCATGCTGCTGTAGACTGCCTACAATTTAGGTCTTCTTGTGTGTGGATTCTTCAGTGAAACATAACTCTTAGGGGATATCTGGCCAGTACAGAGTATTTGAGACATACATTTTCCCCATAATTTGCTATCTCAGGTGGGGAGTTAAAAGACAGCATGAAAAATTTCTGTCTTGGGTACTCAGCAAATCACTGAGCACATTTGAGAAGCTGCTTTTTAAATTGATAGTATACTGTGAATTCAAAGGAAGGTATGCAGACTAGAATCTTATTGGAATTTTACTCTGGAGTAAAATGAAATCACATAAATCATGAGAGCAAATTGCAGCTAATTAAATAAGGTGCCTGATCTCATATCAGTCTTTGAAATGAGCACATGATCAGGTACATGACCTGCAGTTTGTTAATTAGCTGCAGTTTGTTGCCATTACTTATGTGGCTCCACTTCCTCAGTACTGAAGTCAGAATGTGATTCAGGCCATTTCCTCATTCATGCAAACTTTGCTCTTAATTTTGGATCAAAATTACTTAATTTGGATTATTTTTCTTTTATAAATTTCTTATCTTTTTAATGACACATTATCAGTTTGTCTTTGCTGTGACCAGTTGATAATATTGGAAGTGCTCATGGCAGCTGTATTACTTTTAACCACTAATATGCCATGGTTGGGTTATTCTGTCTTTTACAGTCAATTTATTTACTCTCTGATGTCAGCAGGGGCATGAGAAAATGCCCACAAGCAACAGTACGATTTCGGTACAATGACACATAACTGGGATCTAAAACATCTACTATGATCAGGAGACTACAATGGCCTTATGGTGTGTGTACTATGGTAGAAATACTTATCTAGGAAAATATATTCAGTGGCTAATGAAAAAGAGAAGAGATAAAATGATGGTATTGAACATCCCTCCCTCCCTCCCTTCTCTCCCTCTCTGACTTTCCTTATCAAGTGCTTTCACAGAGAAAGCCATCTCATGTTCTCACTCATCCAGCTTCTTGGGTTGTTGAGACACACAACAGGTCCTCCATAGAAGATCTCAAATTATAGGCAAGCTTATGTAATAGGAGGCAGTCTTTCAGATATCTGAGCCCCAAAGCATTTAGGGTGGTGGTGCTGTGGGTTAAACCGCAGAAGCCTCTGTGCTGCAAGGGCAGAAGACCAACAGTTGTAAGATCAAATCCATGTGATGGAGTGAGCTCCCATCGTTTGTCCCAGCTCCTGTCAACCTAGCAGTTCAAAAGCATGTAAAAATGCAAGTAAATAGATACCACCTCGGTGGGATGGCAACGGTGTTCCATGTGTAGTCGCGCTGGCCACGTGACCATGGAAACTGTCTACAGACAAACGCTGGCTCTATGGCTTGGAAACGGGGATGAGCACCATGACCTAGAGTCAGACATGACTGGAAATTTGTCAAGGGGAACCTTTACCTTAGCCAAAATCAGCACCTTGAAAAGAGTTTGGAAACAAACTGAAAGCCAGACTGCAGACACATGGCCCCTACAGCTGAAAACCATTTATGCTAGCACTACTTTATGAACACTTATTAAGGGGAGCCCAACATATAATTGATTGCAATAGTTCATAATAATCATAATTACGGACATCAAGTTGTTTCCAATTGATGGCAGTTTCATAGAGTTTTCTGGGTATATAGTATTGAGACATGGTTTACCAATCTCTTCTTCCAGTGACTCTCTGGGGCTGTGCACCTTGCCCGAGGCTATACAAGAGGCAAAGGCACATTACCCCATCAATCACATGCTCTGGGTTGTCTTGACTGGCCTCTTCCCATGAAGTGCCATAGTTTAAATGAGTGCCAATTAAAGCATGGATCATTGTGTCCAGATCTGCCTTCCTGGGAAACAGGTGCAGATTGTGTTCCAGTCAGAAGCTAAATGCTCGAATCACTCTCAATTATTAACCATGATTAAATGTTTCCACATCCTATGTTGCCATCTGTTAATATATTTTTTTCCTGGAATTTCAGCCACAAATATTTCTCCTACACACGTCATTTTGCAAATGTCAACAGTAATGGTCTTAGGAAAGGGTGGGTTTGTATCTAGACTGTCGGGACTGAAACTGAAATAAGCACAAAATGAAACTGGAAAGCCAGTGTGACCTCAGCTACTTCACACACTAATCTATTGAAGTCATAAAGGCAGGCACTGTGGAGAAAGATGGGAAGTCATGACTGCCTCAGAGTGCACAGGTTGTCAGTAAGACACTCATGCCTTCTGGAAGGGTGACCTGAAACTCACAATGCAGAGTAAATGATTTGGAAACAAAAGTGTTGTTGCTTGTTCATTCTTGATACTACTGTTAAGAGATATAGCGAGACAGAAAGTCAGGAAAAAAGGTTGGTAGTATTTCCACCATTCAACTCCACTTTTTAAAATCTTATTTGACTGCAGTCATACTATGAATGGCATGAATCTAATTCCCCTTGCAGAGAGATCTTGTGGTATGACCTTTCTACGTGCAGCCCAGAAACATCAGCAATTACCCTTGAAAGAACAGAAAGGATAGGACACACAGACAATAAAACACTACTTGTGCTTTTGTAGGGTTGAGAACATTATATTTTCTGCTGGCCTAGTATCTCTTGAACTGCAATTTAGACAGAAATAGAACCAGCACAGGCTGACAGTGAGTACTCAGAAGATTCCTGAATCGCTCCTTTAACACAAATGACTGCATCCACCATGTTAGTGGATGCTCACATTACAGCTAGTGTAGCCCTAGGCTTCTGCACAGCAGAGGTAGGCAGACTTCAGGCATGTTGAGTCCAATTTGTCTTTACAAGAACGCCAAGATCTGCCACCCAGAGCTTAGTCTAAGCAGAAGTTTTCAGTGCCATAAATGAACCGAGCTCACGGTCCTTTTACATGAAGGCCTATTTTCTTAATTGCAGAAAAATTTAGATGGGGAAGTCTGTTCTTTGTAGTAGTTGTTATTGTTGAGTAATTAGGAGTCATAGACCTTTGCTGGCCTACTGGAAAGCACCTAGATATCTTACAAAATATGATCCAGACTGGAAAGTTTCTGTTACACTTGTGTTATGAGCATCATCATGAATTCAAAGAAATGCATGTATGGTAACACTTTAAATGATAATAGGTCTCAGAATGACAAGAATTTGTTCTAATCTATAGTAGATTATACTATATAGAAGATAAATTATTTTGGCAGGGAGGACATTAGAAATACACCCTCATACTCAGTATAATGCTTATGCTATCAGCATAATCACCAGTTCAAAGAAATTTTCTGTAACATAATACTTCAATCTGTTAGATCTCAGAATTGCAAGAACTAATCTATAAGTGGGACATGGTGGCGCTGCGGGTTAAACTGCAGAGGCCTCTGTGCTGTAAGGTCTGTAGATCTCCAGCTGTAAGATCAAATCCACGTGACGGAGTGAGCGCCCGTCGCTTGTCCCAGCTCCCGCCAACCCAGCGGTTCGAAAGCATGCAAATGTGAGTACATAAATAGGGACCACCTCGGTGGGAAGGTAACAGCGTTCCGTGTCTGAGTCGCACTGGCCATGTGACCACAGAAGATTGTCTTCAGAAAAACGTTGGCTCTATGGCTTGGAAACGGGGATGAGCACCACCCCCTAGAGTCGAACACGACTGGACAAAAATTGTCAAGGGGAACCTTTACCTTTACCTAGTGAGGGGCAGGTTATGTTTGTGACACTTGATTTGATTACCCCCATGAATGGCAAATTTAACGTTAAGGATTGATGAGGGATGCATTCTTCTCCATGAGTGCCCCTGAATTCTTTGTTCTATCCTGTGGTACTCTCTCTCTCTCTCTCTCTCTGACTTCTACCCCACCCATCTAGATCAAAGGTCTAAACGTATACTATGAATCCAAGATGGTAAAAATATCAAAATTTAAGATACGGCAGGAGGGAAAGCCTGACCAAATAGCAAGGTCTTAACTTCTGAAAACACACAGAAAAGGGGCTCATGGATCTCCATGAGCAAGTTGTTCCAGAGGTGAGGGGCCACTGCCGAGAAGGCCCAGTTCCTCGTTCTTTCCTTCCGGACCTTCTTCAGTGTTTGGCCGCCCAGCCTGGCTAGAATGAGTGACTCTGGCAGAAATGGATGGGAGAAGGCACTCTGCCAGATATTGTGGTCCCAAACCATTTAGGGCTTTATATATCATTGTTAGGACTTTGAAATTGATGCAGAAATGAACGGTCAGCCAATTCAAGGCAGCCAGCATGGAGGAAACATGGTGATACTTTTTCACCCCAGGAAGAAGTATGGCCACAGTATTCTGCACCATCTGAAGTTTCCATGTCAGTCTCAAAGGCAGCCTCACATAGCGCACATTACAGATAGGGATGCAGCTGGGCAATTCGCCCAAAATGGAAGTGTGTGGAATGAACGACTGTCACCACCTGGGTTTCCATGGTGAGTGCTGGGTCCAGATATACACACAAACTGCAAACCTCACTCTTGGTGGTAAGAATCACTCCCCCAAAAGAGGGAGCTTCCCAAACCACTGATGTCTGTGGCATCCACCCGAAGGACCTCCGTCTTGCCCAGGTTCTGCCTCAGTCCATTCTCCAGCATCCACTGTTGTTGGAAAAAAGGAGATGTAGAGCTGAGTATCACCAGCATACTGATGACATGAAGCCCCACATCTCCTGATGACCCCCCCTGCCGAGCACCTCATATAGATGTTAAATAGCATTGTAGAGATGATTGAGCCCTGCGGAACCTCACAATTGAGGTTCCATGGGGCCGAGAAACTCTCTTCAATTTGCAATATCTGGGAATGGTCCTCCAAGA